AAGGAATTTAATTTAAATCTGCAAAAGGAGGTTTTGTTTTGTTTAAACTGCCAAAAGCAACATTTTCAGTTCAGTCTTAATAAATGTACAAAAACAATGAAATCTTATTTACAAATCAAAATAGCGAAGCGCCACCTCACAACAATTCCATAAACACATATACATATATATATATATATATATATATATTATATTTCAGGTACTTATAGAGCGCCGTCAATTTACGCAGAGCTTTACATATATATTATACATTCACATCAGTCCCTAACCCTCAAGGGCCATACAATCTAAGGTCCCTAACTCACATTTATACATACACATACCAGGGACAATTTAGACAGGATCCAATTAACCTACCAGCATGTCTTTGGAGTGTGGGAGGAAACCGGAGTATCCAGAGGAAACCCACGCAGGTACAGGGAGAACATGCAAACTCCAGGCAGGGGGTGCCGTGGCTGGGATTCGAACCAACGACCCTAGTACTGCCAGGCGGAAGTGCTAACTATATATATATGTATATATATATACATACATATGTATATATATACATACATATATATATACATACATATATATATATACATATATATACATACATATATACATACATATATATATACATATATATATATACATACATACACATATACATACACATACACATACATACATACATACATACACATACACACACACATACATGCACACATATATATATATATATATATATATATATATATATATATACACACACACACACACACACATACATATATACACACACACACACACACATACACACACACACACACACACACACATATACTTTACACACACACACACTTTATATTTTTTTTTTTTCTCCCCACACACAAATATTAAAGAAAAGGTGACAGAAAAATAAATAATTTTCAGCAATAGTCTCTTGTGGGCTATTTAGTGCTTCATTTCTTTCCAAGTGAATATATTTCCAAATCACCACATGCCACCACCATAAAACACCATACGCTTACCTCTTTGACCCTCTGGTGAAGCCACATAATTGGCGTAACACGTAAGGGTTGGAGCCAGTGATGTCATGGAAAGGAAAGGAAGGGAAGCGGTTTGTAGATCTGGCTAGTATACCCTTATTATTTGTACATGCGAAGACCTGTAGTGCACAGTACTATGGGAGTCCATCGGTTTTATAATAAAGAGTGAGATTAAAAATATATATCGATGAGCTATGACACAGGTTTTTTTTCTCTCTGAGTATACTGAGGAGACCTATCTGTATGAGCTGCACTAAAGAACAGTGGAGAGAAATCATAAGAGCAGCCCTCTCTGAGTATCAATAAAAGGAGTGTTACCCCCTCTTAAAGGGGAAGTGCATGGCTGGACCTATTAAAATTCGCAGGTCTAACAGAGAAGGGGAGTGTATGGTGTTGGCACATGGTGGCACATGGTGATTTGGTCACAACTGGAAATATATTCACTTGGAAAGAAGTGGATTTGTAAAGCACTAAATAAGAGACTGTTAAAATTATTTCTATTGCCTTTACTTTGAGAACACACACACTTGCCAAAAGTATTGGGCCAGCCCTCCAAATCATTGGATTCAGGTGTTCCAATCCCCTCCATGGGCACAGGTGTATACAATCAAGCCCCTAGGCATGCAGACTGCTTCTACAAACATTTGTGAAAGAATGGGTCACTCTCAGGAGCTCAGTGACTCCAAGCGTGGTCCCGTGATAGGTTGTCACCTGTGCAATAAGTCCATCCGTGACATTTCCTGGCTACTAAATATTCCACGCTCAACTGTTAGTGGGATTATAACAAAGTGGAAGCAACTGGGAACAACAGCAACTCAGCCACCAAGTGGTAGGCCACGTCACATGACAGAGCGGGGTCAGCGCATGCTGAAGCGCACAGTGCACAGAAGTCACTAACTGTCTGAGGAGTCAATAGCTAAAGACCTCCAAACTTCATGTGGCCTTCAGATTAGCACAACAACAGTGTGTAGAGAGATTCATGGAATGGGTTTCCATGGCCGAGCAGCTGCATCCAAGCCTTACATCACCAAGTGCAATATAAAGCATCAGATGCAGTGGTGTAAAGCATGCTGCCACTGGACTCTAGAGCAGGGGAGACGTGTTCTCTGGACTGACGCTTCTCTGTCTGGAAATCCGAAGGACATGTCTGGGTTTGGTGGTTGCCAGGAGAACGGTACTTGCCTGACTGCATTGTGTCAAGTGTAAAGTTTGGTGGAGGGGGGATTATGGTGTGGGATTGTTTCTCAGGGGTGACTTGGCCCCCTAGTTCCAGTGAAGGGAACTCTTAAGGCTCGGCATACCAAGACATTTTGTACAATTTCATGCTGCCAACTTTGTGGAAACTGTTTGGGGCCCCTTCCTGTTCCAACATGACTGCACACCAATGCACAAAGCAAGGTCCATAAAGACATGGATGAGCGAGTTTGGGGTGGCGGAACTTGACTGTCCTGACCTCAACCTGATATAACACCTTTGCGATGAATTAGAGCGGAGACTGCAAGTCAGGCCTTCTCATCCGACATCAGTGCCTGACCTCACAAATGCTCTTCTGGAAGAATGGTCAAAGTTTCCCATAGACACCCTCCTAAACCTTGTGGACGGCCTTCCCAGAAGAGTTGAAGCTGTTATAGCTGCAAAGGGCGGGGCCAACTCAATATTGAACCCTAGGGACTAAGACTGGGGGGCCATTACAGTTCATCTGCGTGGAAAGGCAGGCGGCCCAATAATTTTGGCAATTCAGTGTGCATTTAAGTGTGTGTATATATACAAGAACAGGGACATCTATGTATGGAGGAACATGTGACGTCTTCTCCTGTCACATGTCCGAGTCTAGCTGCTAACCACCAAGCACAAGTACAGTAACATGACAGGAGAAGTCATGCCACCGCTCCCCCAGTTGCTAACGCCAGTCATTTCAGTGCAGGTGCAGATGGTAATGAATGCAAATTCTTCATTTTCAAATTCATAGTGGCATTTTCTAATTGTATGTCAAAGCCACCAAAAAAAGGTTACCGCAGCTCTAAATGGCTACTGGCAAGCTTGAGGGATAAGAGAGAGCGTCCCCAGAATGCATATTGTAAAGTCAAATTATGCCGTGACTTTCCTACAGTGGTTATTCAATGGATACACCAGAGGAAAGCAAAAAGGGCAACCAATTAATTTATAACTAGCAAGACACACAAGAAGGGAAGAACACAAAATAAAAAAAAAAAAAAGTATGTTTTCAAATTATTGGTCTATGCCAGTGGTCTCCAAACTGCTGCCCAAGAGCCAGATTTGACTCTTTGCTTGCCTTTGTCCAGCCCATGAGGCACCATTTTACTGACACCAACTATGAGGCACCTTTCCTCTCCGTGACACCAAAAGTGGGACATTGTTCCTTCCAATGAGACAAACAATGGCGCACTGTTCCTGCCACTAATACTAATTATGGGGCAATATTTCTCCTCCTACTGACCACATTTTATAAATCCCACCAATTACGAGGCCTGAGACATTGCGGACTCCCATGCCGGGGCACTTTCTACTTTCACACATCACAGTCCAGCCCCACTAAAAGTCTTGAAGGCAGTAAACTGGCCCTTTGTTTAGGAAGATTGGCGACCCCCTGGTCTACGCCATCCAAAATCGATACTACAGATCTGCACGTCTTCTAGCAAATCCCATAGGGCAAGAGATACCAGAATGCATGTTAAGAATTCTAATTATATTTTTAGTCCCCTCCAATGGATTTTCCCAAAAAGGACAACTGATACAGGGCTCTACAAACTATGGCCCTCCAGTTGTTGAGGAACTGAAAGTCCCATGAGGCCTTGCAAGACTCTGACAGCCACAGTCAAGACTCCCAGAGGCATGATGGGACTTCTAGTACTTCAACAGCTGGAGGGCCATAGTTTGTAGACCCCTGGATTAGATCAATGTATAACTAAGCAAGGTTGCACATGGGCAGCGCAGTACACAAAACAGGGCAAATATTTCCCAATACAATCTGCAACTAGTCACCACAAACATTCTTCTGATAACATTTTTTTCTATAACATTTCAGGTGAAGACAAAGGGTTTTTTTTTTGCATGCACTTACAAATATATGTGGCAAGGCATCTATGCAAAGTCTCATCCCTAAGTCCAAACTAAGCTATTCAAGGCATGCCTGTGCTCAGTTTTTTCATTAATATAAATGTCCAAGCTTTGGGAGCTACAATAATTGGGGACCACACTTTGCAAATATATGCAAAAATATATGTGAAGCCATATATTGCTGTGCCGAGGCGGCACAGCAGTATGGCTTCACATATATTTTTAAATGTACGCAAAAAGAACCTCAAAATACTAAAAAATAAAAAATTAGGCAGACTTAACTACTGCTACAAAAACTCCGGTACCACACCAGAGCCCACCCATCTCAGCCCTGAAGAAGGGGGAAGCAATCCCCCAAAACCCGTTGGCTTGATCTGAACATTTTTAATCTCTCAAACAATAGTATTCTTCTATCAAGATTTACATTATTCCGGACACCAGGCGCTCTTTACTTCCTGTTCAAGTATTGTTTCTGCTGAGGCAACATCTCTGCCGTACCAGCAAGGTGGCAGCCCAAACCTCTAAAGGGAAATAAGCACTAACATTCACCCGCAGAACCACCCATCACCAATGACCATTGAATAAGTCCAGCGCGGTCTCCAGCTTAAACTAATCTTCTACTGCAAGGAAAACTTTCCACTGGATACAAATGCTATGAGAAGCCAACAAGTCATGTCACAACCCAATGACATCCATCAAAAAGCAACATACGGTAGGTTTTCAGGGCTGAGTTAGCTTTGAATTACCCGCCAACATCTGCAGACAACACATCAGAGATTGATCTACATTGCATGGAATAATAGTAAGTATCCCCCTCATTCCATATACAAAACACCAATCGATAAGTGTAACTACAAGTTTTCATCAACTACACAAGGAGTCAAAAACATATTAAACAAAACATTTTTCACAGAAAAAAACATGCATCTTTAAATAACTTACCACTATAGGCACACCAATGTCTGGCCATAAGAGGTCCTCTGACGGTAACTTGGGAGAATTCCAAACTACGACAACTTTGTTTAAATAAGGGAGTCCATTTAACCTCTCCAAGGAGTTCATCAATACTTCCTCTCGCTCGTAAGTTAACATAACCACAGTGAACTGTTCCCTTGGGACATTTCCGCCAAGAGCAGCCTGAAACTCTTTTCCAGATCCACCGGCCCCACCACCTATTGGACGGAACCCAGTACCAGATCCCAGGAACTTTGCTTCAGAGGGCAAGACAGGATCAAAAGGTGTATGTGGAAATAGATGAAAAGGGCCCGGGGCCGAATTCCAGTTACGGTAAATATCGGTTGCAGTCAAAGTGAAGTTACGCAGGTATTTAGGAGAGGCGTATGGTGGTTCGGTTTCAACTGGTCCCAAATCCAAGTCTCCATTGTCTGCCATGTTTGGGTCTGTACCAGCAGCTTTTCCCGAGCGATGAGGAATTTCCACAGCTGGTTCCTCCCTGATAGGAGCTGCTGGAATTTGGATACGAGTCCTTAGAGTTGCCAGGATGGTGTTAAAAACTGTATCGGATGTAGAAAAGTAGGTCTCCCACAGGAAACGCCCTTGCCTTCTCATGGCAAGGAGATCGTTATCAGAAATGCTTCTCAAAAGAAAATGTACCTCGGTGATACGTGGTTTTGGTATGATTAACACTGCCTCATTCCACCGTATCATGTCATGGTAGGGTAACTGGATCTGCTCTCCAAAAATGACTGGGATGGCTCCTACTTCAAGAGCCTCAAACAGTCGCATGGCACTGCCAGCGGATATGACGAGCTGGGAATCTCCTGGGGTAATGAGAAGTGCAAATGTGGATTGCTTCAGTAGCTCTAACCTGTCTTCCCTTCCTCCACATAGGGCCCACTCGGTGGGCAGGCTTGCTTTGGGCTGGTTTTTACACGTAAACTCAACCATAACAAAGTCTAATTTACTGTCCTGGACAGCCTTAAGAGTGGTGATGATGCGGTCATCATAGTCAGCTGGTGCATTACCTTCAATTTCCTCTTCAAATGATCGGGCCTCTTGCAGACTTGAACGCAAAGATTCGATCTTCTCTCCTTGGAAACTGAAAAGATACTTCCGCTTAACTGGCACCTGTGTGGGAATCTCTAGGAAGTTGGGTTCGGACATTGCGTGGACTAATGGCGTTGTAATGATGTCAAACCCCGGCCGATACTGTAAATCATAAAAGGTGGACTGAGCAATCATGGCACGTCCTGTGCTGACATTATAAAGATAGTTTTGGGTCTCAGATTTCCTAGACAAGTTAATAATAAGGTGATTGTGGCCATCAGTCCTCCAATATGGCAAAGAGTGCAACTGTTGCTCTAGGTCAGTAGGTTTTGGCATTAAGGATTCCTGCATTTCTCCCAATAAAACTACATATATACAAGCAATATTTGCATTTTCAGTCACGTATGCATTAGTTCTGACACTGGCCTCCAAGGCTTGTTTGATCAATGGATCTATTAAGTTGCCAAAAGGGTACTGATCTCCATTGTACACATAAACAGGAAAACCCGAAGTAAGGGGACACCTCGAGTAATCAAAACAGTTATACAGCCGGCAGTTCCTTTTGGACTTTGGCAAAGGTAAGTTAACATCGTCTTTATCTGGCAACAGCCGGATTGGCAATGAAAGCTTTGGCTGATTTTGTGCCATCAGTTCTTTATACGAATGCTCCGTTTGACTGATGACATTCTTGAGCTGAAGTAGGTCCTGCTTTGCGTTCTCTATACTCTTTTTGCATGCTTCTATTTTTAAGTTCAACTTAGCGATCTCACTGTTGAGCTCCTGCCTCTTGGCTTCCAACTGCAGGAGCTCTTCACTAACGGACTCTCGGATCCGACACAGATCCTGAACATGCTTCACTTCGCAAAGTTCATTGCCTGTCCGTGGAACAAAGAGTGGTTTGCTTCGATTGTTATCATCATCGATGGTGGTGAGATAATAATGGGCAATGAGAGGGAAGAAAACCAGGATGATGAACAGTGTGAAGCTGAGCCAGGAAAGTCTAATTCGACTGGACCACCGGAGCATCCATGGTTGACCTCCGTTCCCAAAACCCCCATTCCGCAACATGGTGTACCCACTCATGAGTTCCAGAGCAGCTCTGGTTAATCACGTCGGATCAGTAGCCATGCCAACGTAATTTTTGACCACCGAGCCTCGAAAATCACTCTCTTTGGGCCTCGGCTAGCCAATAAAATGGAAATTTCATTTTCTAGCACCTAAAATTTAAAACCAAAGCAAGACTTCTTTTAAAAATAAAAATAAAAGTCATGCAGGAGTTCCTTTAACCAGCCTTATCCAAGATTTAATAAACATGTATCTTGGTGAGTTATGTGGGATGGATAGAAGTCCTTCTGGACACGAAAGTACATCTCAGCTGAGCTTGGCATGATGATGCGACCGTTAAATAACTATGTGATCGACATCCATGGTGAAGAAAAGACTCAGAAAATATAAACTTCCAGGATCATCATAAAACACTTGACACCCAACATGTCCTAAAAGAAAAAAAAAGGAAAAAAATGGTTATATTACAATATACAAGCAACAGTACCTCACAGGCCTAAAACATTTCAGTTACAGTTTACATCTATGGTCTCCAAACTATGGCCCTTTGCTTGCCTTTATCAGGCCTTTGAGGTATTATTCCTGCCACTGACACCAACAATAGGGCACTATTCCTCCCCACAGACACCAACTATTGCTCCCCTAATACCAAAGACAGGGCACTGTTTACTCCCACTGGGCACAGTCTGACCCTCCTAAAGTCGGAAGGACAGTAAACTGGCCCTCACTTTAGAAAGTTTGGAGACCTCTGGTTTAGATCTGAATGGTTGACGAGGGGAACTCAAGTCACAAGGATCAAAAAAGACTCCCCATCTAAAAATGTCAAAGCTGATCTGCAGCTTTTAGTGAAGTTTAAATAGTTGGTTTGGACCAAGCTGGTCCAAACAAACTATTTACGTCACTAACAGATGCAGAAGAACTGTATGTAGCTTCGGCAGTGGGATGGGAACTTCCCATCCAGCTCCCGGAACAAAATCAAGATGGGCTGAGCACTCCTCAGCTATTAGCAGAGAACTTTGTATACTAAGAATTCTATAAGTCGGAGATCATGAGATCATCTGCCCGCCTCTCCACCTCAGCCAATCAGAGGAAGCTTTGTATTCATTTATAGGAAATATAGCTACTGCTACTGGCTGAGGCTCAATTTTGTTCCAAGAGCAGATCAGGAAGTTACCACTCCACAGCCGAAACACAATTTTCTATGCTGTATGTAGCTAAAGATTATACAGCGCCCCCAGCCACTGTATCTGTCAGTAAAGGTAATAGTTCATTTGGACCAGCTTGGTCCAAACAAAGTATTTAAACAGTACTAAAAGATGGGGATCAGCTTTAAAGTAGAAATGCACTGCATCTGAGCACCGCAAACCAAAAATGCCATTTCATTTTTAATATTCAAAAGCAAACTCCCCCATCCATCCTTGCCTCCAGGCTTTATTTTGCATAGAGATTATTTTGAAAAGCACCCCCTAGCATTTCTGACAGTGGCCATGTTGAGTAAGGTCAGATGATTCATGTAGCATTTAATTCCTGGAATCCATCTAACCTTAGCTCAGGCATTGGCTGAGCGGAGAACCCTCCCCTCCTGAAGACTCCTGGAATGTGACATCATTTGCCTAGGCATGGAAACCAGGAAGTTACTGAATTGTAAAAAAAAAAAAAAAAAAAGTTTAAAACAAGTAAATTTATTTTCCTATCCATTTACTAATGCTAGCAGCATAAGGATTAACAATAATCCAAGCTGATTGAGAGGGTGAAGTTATCAGTACTATACAAAATGTACCTTTTGCCTTGAACTCCTCCTGAATTACAACAGTGAACTTCCTGTGCCTTGAGTCTCAATACAACAGCTGTATATCTCAAGTGTGAGATCTTCCAGGGAACTGCTGCTTCTGACTGTTAGTTTCAGCAAGTTTGGAGATGTCACTAATATTCTGCAGTTCTCCAAGAGGGCTTACTGGAGAGAAACCTGTACCCAATTACCTACTGACAGGCATCTCCCTACTGCTTCGTACATTTTCTGGATCACTGCCTTCTAAATATCTCCTGCCGCTATCCAATTATTCTTCCACCAGTCATCACAGGGTCAGTTCTGACACAAGGAAGTGAAGTGATATTGGAAGCTTGGGGGGGGGGGGGGGGGGGTTCTGTTTTTCTTCAGACAAAAAAATAATAAACCTGTTATACTTACCTGCTCTGCAAAATGGTTTTGCACAGAGCAGGCCCGATCCTTTTCTTTTCTTCTCTGGTCCCCTGTCAGTGCTCCTGGCTCCTCCCCCTTGCCCAGTGCCCCCAATAGCAAGCCATTTTCTATGGGGGCACTGGTGTATGCTCACTCCCCAGCCACTCTATGCATACATAAGACACACACACAAAGCAGTAGCTCAGCCCCGCCCCCACTCTCTCCTCTGGCTGGCTCACTGGCTGTGAATGACAGCGGTGGGAGACAATGGCTCCAACTGTTGTGTCTCAGCCAATGAAGACAGAGAGATCTTGGACAGCCTCAGCCCCCGTGCACATCGCTGATGGGGTGGTGAGGGGGGGGGGGCTCAGGTGAGAATCAGTGGGACTATGGAGGAAACAGCACAAAAAAGGTGTAGAATGCATGAAGGTAAAAAACCTTCAGCCCTTACAAACGTCCTGCTTTTCTATCATGATGGCCGCTTCCACACAGACAATTCAGAACAAAGCAGGGTAAGCCAGTAATGGGAAGGAAAACAACTGCAGGGAGCTTACAGACAACTCTGGTGACTGGCCCTTAACTCCATGCCTGCCTTTTGTATTGAAACCTTCACAGTTCAGCTGATCTTTTGGAAATATATTTCTATAAACACCATCAGCCATTCTCTCAGATTGTAAGCTCCAAGGGTCAGGCCCTCCTATCCCTCTTGTATTGAACTGTATTGTTGCTGTATTGTCTCCCGTTATATTGTAAAGTGCTGAGCAAACTGTTATATATAAATCCTGTATAATAATCTCTTAGATTGTAAGCTCCCAGGATCAGGCCCTCCTATCCCTCTTGTATTGAACTGTATTGTCTCCCTTTATATTGTAAAGCGCTGAGCAAACTGTTGGCGCTATATAAATCCTGTATAATAATCTCTCAGATTGTAAACTCCAAGGATCAGGCCCTCCTATCCCTCTTGTATTGAACTGTATTGTTGCTGTATTGTCTCCCTTTATATTGTAAAGTGCTGAGCAAACGGTTGGCGCCATATAAATCCTGTATAATAATAATAAACAAGCACAATCATTTTGGCTTAACGTGCATTTTTTATGCACTTGGTTCTAAAGCCACCGCCTATGATCTGCCAGGTGTTATTTGCAGACACGATTGCTTCAATTTATGAAAAGACCTTTTAGCTGTAGCATCTTCCAACCTTTTTCTCATGCCTATGGCTAGCTTTCGGTCAAACGAACAAACAGACAGACTCATACCGAAACCAGTAGTAAAATTTTCATTACTAGTGCCCCTGTGACCATAATCAACTGACATCCTAAATTTTTTTTATGGACGCAAGCTACAACACCTCTAGACTGAAGGTTCAGCCCCACCACCCCCAAGAGATAATGGGGAGTAATTCCTCTGACGGCATAAGACCACATCATAACGAGTGACCAGTAAACAGACTTGGAAAGCCATAATTTGCATATTTTTTTCCATTAGCAAAAGCAACTTTCCGGTGAATACATGAAGAAATATTTAGGTCTTTTTTTCGCAGGCAGGTCCTTGTCACCGACTCTTCTACCCACGGAAAGCACTATCCATCGACTCTTGTCATCTAATACATGTTTGATTATGACAATCTCTGCTTGAGAAAGATGAATGAAGGTGGTAATTGATGTCAAACTGAAAAACGGGAAAAAATGGAGAGTTATAATCTCCGTGCAATTATCTGTTTCAGGTGTTTTGCAATTTCCGAAGCAGCTTGTATAACCAAGCGTAGCCTCGAGGTCCGGCACGGCTCCCTAAAAGATCATTTAAATATTGCTATGCTCTATTAAGCTACGGCCTAAACAGACTTGTATATTGTGCACAGAGAAATGAAGAGTCGAGTTCTATCAAATGTACGGTTGTGCTCTGTAAGATGGCTCAAGTAATGGCAGTTGACTTCATCTACTAAAGGAGTTTGGAATGAATATTCACATGATTTTACGAGAGAAGATTCCTATCACCCAAACATGTGAAAAGCAAATTCCTATTAACTCATTTGCTCAACATCGGGTATCCAAAGTTAGGCTTTTTTCACACTGCTCCGTTGCAAAAACACGTTGTCATGTTTCACATGACTGTCATATGCCTTTACGTGTTTTTTGTATGTTGTCTCTGCTCCTCCCTTTCCTCTGGTTTAGTTCATACTGTATAGATAGCCCACCCCTTTTCCCAGTAAGGCATTTCAGCTTCAAGCCTCATGTCATGAAGCAGATCACATTATGATCTTTTGACCTATCCGATGTTCTTTGTTGTAAGATTCTCTCAGTTCATGGAATAAACTTCACAAGATCTACAAGGTGTCATCTTATCGAGTCACTGCCTGTGTTATTCAACTAAGATTGGAGTTATCACTATCTCATCACAACTGTAAGTTACAGAGATCACACTTTCAATGCTTAGATTGGAGAGACAGAACATGTGTTTTTGCCGCATTTACGGTGCGTTTTGCACCTGTGGGGAAAAAAAAAAAACCATGAGACTCAAAAGATTGCACCAAAAATGCAACCACAGGTGTGTTTTTGGTCCGTTTTCCATTAATTTCAAAGAGGAGGTATGCATTTGGTTCTTTTACCGCAGCAAAAATGCAGGAAGCAGGACTGAAAAATGCAAGAGACTGCATTGCCCAATTTTGGGTCTGTCTAGGTCTCAGCAGAAATTGGCATCCTACCTATTTATTTCGGCCAAACGTGCTATATCTCAAGCTTGGAGAACCCCTTTGGTTGTCTTCCAGGGGGTGAAGACCCGGATGAATGCTATGTTGCTCAATGAACAGATGTCTAGCATTCTTCATGATTCTCTCCTGAGA